GTCTCTGGTGAAGCCTCTCACCGCCCCTGAGCCTCTGGCCTGTACCCCAGTTCTGTATGCACAAATAAATAAATCTTTAAAAAAAAAAAAAGAAATAATATAGAATATAAGAGAAATTGTTTATGTGATTTCACTTTCTGAGTCATTTTTGGAATCAGACATTTTAGTTCTTTATTTTAGCCTTTAGTTCAGAAATGTTGGCCTTTCTGCTCCTTCTGAGCTAAAACAAAAACTTATGAACATCTGAAAAACTATGTTTTTATAATGGTGTTGATTTAGGTAAATTTTATTTGTTAGTGTTTCTTACATTACGCAGTTGGCAGTACAGAATAGCAAATAACATGTTTTCAGAAAGAAATTTTGAGGTGTTTGTAAAAGACAAAATTGCTTAAATCTGTATTTTGCTATAGCAGTGTAGTACTTTAGTACTACAGAATAGAAATTTTATGTATTATACCAACAGCCTAAATGTTCGTTAATGTTGGCTTGGAAACCCATATTAAAACACATTTGAGAAATCATTTACCTGGTTTTTGCTTCATTGTGTTATCTTCCATCTTAGGTCTATCATTTAGCAAGTGTTCGCTTACGTGATTTATGTTTAAAACTGGATGTTTCAAATGAATTACGGAGGAAGATATGGACATGTTTCGAATTCACTTTAGTTCACTGCCCTGATCTAATGAAAGACAGACATTTGGATCAGCTCCTTCTCTGTGCCTTTTACATTATGGCAAAGGTAATTTATAAGTTGGGGGGAAGCTCTTTGTTCTATTGATTATATTTGAAATATGAGGTGAAGAATATGTTGTACTTTATTGTTAGTTTACCTTAAATGTGAAAAGCCAGTCACACCCACCATTAGTAATTAAGTAGTAAATTCCAGCAACTGTATCTATTCACTGTACTCCCCATTTGTAGTAATTAGTTTTCCCATTTCATAAGAATAATACATTGGCTATAAAAATATGGAAAAGACCCTAAAGACCTTTTGTAGTAAAATAGCTTACCAGTAATGTTAACAACAGTTCTACCCTGACCCCTGCGACACCTCTAGTCTGGTACTTTAAAATAAAATGTCATTGCATTGTAGGTGAATACCTGAGGCCCAGAGCTGAAAGTAACTTGGCCAGAGTTACACAATAAGTAGAAATTTAGGATATTCTGATTCATAATCTGGTATAAAATAATTTATAGACTGGTTTCCATTGACTTACTGCTCTTAGAAGAACATTTAACTGTCTTAATTGCTGTAACATGTCTTAAGCATGAAATAGCATATCTTTCGTGTTTTTTAAAACTCTGATTTATCTGACTTCAATTGTAACTTTGGTGTCATGCATACTTGCCACACTGGCAGTCCTAGTAGACATACAGTTAATAAAACCTAACTTTTAAAGTTCTTTGAGACAGAGAACATGTTTCAAACTCCTGTGATTCTCCTCTTACACTGTTTCTTTAAAATCACTAAATGGAATAGGTAATGTTAAGTATTGCTAGTATCACCTATATTTTCCATAGAACTGTCAGACTCAGGCTTTGTCATTTTTAGCTCATCATTATGGAGAACATGTTTAATGCTAGTGGACAGTAAACAGAAGAAATGATTAACTAAAGTGACTTTATTAAAACAAGTGGACCAGAAGAAATTCCTTTATGGATGGATCTCTAACCCATTTTCTCCCTTCTAGCCACCACTGTGACTTTTTTAATCTAAGCAATTGAAATGTTAACCTTATAATAACTGCTTGATTTTATTGTAAATCACCATAAGACATTTTTTCTCCTTAGTATGTGCTTAATTTACTTTTAAATAAGTATTTAAAAACTAATAAAACCAGAGGCTACAGGGGATTCAGCAGATCTCCAGTTCATGAATCATTCTTTTTATAAAGAAAAGCATTTTCAGTAGAGTTCTACCATAGCAATGTCACTGCTTTTTGATTAATGAAACTATTAGCTGAGTCCCCATAGGCCGCAAAACCTGAACTTTAAAAATCATAAATACTAGTGGTTTTTAGTCATGAACTGGCCTGGGGTTAATGGCTATCTGCAAGACTGCTCTCAATGCTAATGTAAATTGAAGTAATTGTTCAGAACTGTTTTTCTATTAAAAACATTTTATAAATGTAGTTTTTATTGTCCTTAGGTAACAAAAGAAGAAAGAACTTTTCAAGAAATAATGAAAAGTTATAGGAACCAGCCCCAAGCTAATAGTCATGTGAGTTACATTATTTTCCTCCTTTCCAAAAATAGATTTGTATTGTTTTTCTGCTGGTAAGCCATATATGTAAAAAGTAAATTTCTTGCATATGTTAATATACTTTAGATTTTTTTGCTTAATGGATACCTTTAAACTCAGGACAGTTTTATTAAATGACAGAATCAGTAGAAGCCAGGAAATATGGCTTTCTGATTCACTCATATATTTGCATACAATTCTCCCATTTACTCATTTGTTAACTAGAGACATTTTTCATTAGGAAGTCTTATGAAAAATACCTTTAATGGTACTTTTTGATTTCATAAATCAAGTAAAATTTGAAGATTTCTTAAGTTCAGCTTCTTTGCCATGTGCTGAAAACCTTAATTGTCTACATTTTTTAATAGGTATCAGGCATTTCTGACAATGTTGTTATAATAGCCATGATGTATAGCCTTTTAGTAATGGAAGTTCAGAATGTTAGCATGATGACCGGACAAATGGTACACATCAATGATTGCTAACTCCATTTTACTGTTAACTACAGTAGCTGATGAACACATGGTTAGGTTATCTTAAGACTTTGGCAATTCAAGAACCTGGTTGCTCTGCCCTAGGGGGTCATAACGAGCTCTTCTCTGGCACCAGCGATCAGTTATTGTAGATGAGAAGAGACGTATTGGCTCAGTATCAGGCCCAGTACAGGTAATGCTCTTCTAAGAGAGCCCCGAAAATAGTTTAATTTCTTTACTTAAGCCCCAAAATTCACTGATAGTGAGTGATCTAGAGATACTATAAAAGCCAAGTATAGGTTTTTGGTGGAGCTATCTGGCTTCTTCAGAAAAACCCTCAAAAGCAGAGCCTAGAGATGTCCACATTGTCCCTAAAGATGACTAAAATGAAATTAGCTTGAGTCAAAAGTGGGCCAAGTGACAACTCCTTATATCTCCTCTCAATACAAATAATCTATAGAATGAGGGTGGATGGATTATGCTTTTAGCCATCTTGGAAGTAGGAAAACATTTTGGAGCAGAAAAGGGCACAGATTTTCATGTGGCCACCTGAAAGGAGGTGGGGATGGGATAGGAACAGGAAAATAAACCCAGTGAAAAGAAAGAACTCTGGTTGTAAGGAATTAAAAGGAAGGAAGAACAGATTCAGATCTTTGAAGTTGCTTTTTTTAAAAGATTTATTTATGCATACAGAACTCAAGTACAGGCTAGAGGTGCATGGACAGTTAGAGGGTTCACCAAAGACAGGGTGGGAAACAAAACAGGCAGATTGATGAAGTACACTGCTGAGGGGAGCAGCGGGTGAAATAGGAGAGGTCTGCCAGGCCATGTGGATCACCTCTTTGGCTGGGAATTGAACTTGTGAACTCATGCTAAAGCAGCTGCGGCCAGCTTCATAGTGTTGCGCTTTTAACCTGTTGCCACCTGGGAGGGTCCTGAAGTTGCTTTTATTTAGCAAAACCTGCTATCAGTGTTTCTGCTACTTATATACTTCTTCCATTTTATAAACTTCAATAATGGCATATTTTAGATAGTTAACTCTGCTTCAGTATTCCTCTTCTGCATTTACCAGGCCAATAACATTTTACCCTAAATATCATCCATACAAACAAATGCTTTTTTATTTAGTCTCTTTATTTGGATTTTGCTTTACCTATGCCTCTTTGTACTAAGCAGTTCTTTATTTTCCTCTATAACCTTTAGGTCTATAGAAGTGTACTACTGAAAAGTATTCCAAGAGAAGTGGCATACGGTAAAAACATACATAGTGATTTTGAAATGACAGATTATGGTAAGTTGCCCAATTGATATAACAATCAGATGTAATATAGCTTTGATTCTACTGTATAAGCAAAATAAAGTAGGTACAGGCATCATGAACTCACAGAGTTAGCTTAAAATCCCAATAGTCTTTTCCTCCAGACTAACATAAAGATTCATTCAAGGCAATTCCAAGATTTCTATACATAGGATTCTATTAATCTTAAAGCCAGACTCAAACAAATGCATCAGAGTTTAGGGCTGAGCATCATCCATAATATAATAGTTAGCCCCACAGACCTCATTGGATCTCTGGTCCTTTTTGCTATTATGGTTAGTGTCTTAAATATTTTAACCCAAATCATATTTTAAATACCTCTAATTTCCCCAACATGAGCCAGCTTTTAGCATTTGCATAATTAATAAATGGTCACTATTTCCACCAATAAAAAAACATTTCTGACTCTGAGCATGTTAATTAATTGGCAAAGCACTGGTCATTGATATCTGCCTAACATTAACCGGTAAAGTAACCTGTGAAGAATGAGCTTTCTAATTAAATCCAGCTTACTACTCATGGGCAATACACATTGTTCATTTTTGTGTTAGCAGACCCCTCACACTGGCATCCTTGATTAGAACACGTGAAGACCCAGATTACAGTTTAATTTAAGTGGCACAAAAATAATGTTCAAGTGTAGCATAGTATGTTGAAAACTTCATACTTCCTCAAAGGCTTGTTTTAAGGACTAAAATGGACAATGTGTGTGTTTCCTTATATGTGTGATGGTAACACAATGTTTGCTCATACTAAGTCCTCAGTAAGTAAATGTTTTTGTTATTTTGTTTATAAGCAATGTAAAATTTATTATTTTTAAATTTATTTTTATTTATTCATGCAAGAATTGGGGTATAGGCAAAAGATGATGATGGGGTGAGAGGATTCACTAGAGACAGTGGGAAGCAGAACAGGCAGCTCTACTGAAATACACTGCTGATGCTCTGCTCCCACTCTGTCTCTGGTGAATCCTCTCACTCTCCGCATCTCTGGCCTGTACCCCAGTTCTGTATGAATAAATAAACAAATCTTTAAAAAAAAAAAGAAAGAAAGAAAGAAATACACTGCTGAGGGGAGCAGTGGGCAAGACAGGAGGAGAGGTCTACTGGGCCATGTGGGTCGCCTCACTGGCCAGGGCTCAACTCTGGATGTTGTAGTAGCTGAGGATAGTTTCATAGTGCAGAGACTTAACCCTTTGCAGCAGCAGCATGGAGGCCTTCAAAAAATTCTTGCTGAAGCAGTATCTAGAGAAATGGAGTGCCATGTTTGCATTTCTCTAGATTTCCAATTTGATTATATATAAAACATAGATGAATCTCATAATTCAAATCCCCAATTTAAATACTAAAGCATAAAACTGAATTCTTTCAGCAAACTTGGGTGATGCTGCAAAGACAACTGAATGTTCCAGTGGACCAGTGAAAGAGGAAAGAGGTGATCTTATCAAATTTTACAATACAATATATGTAGGAAGAGTGAAGTCATTTGCATTGAAATACGATTTGTCAAATCAGGATCATGTGGTATGTTTTTATATTTTATTTTATTAATATCTTAGTCTTAGTTGGATTACTATGAGTCTGTTTTACTAGGCTAATGTTCATATTTTAAGAACTAATGGCTGATTTTTTTTAAAGATATATATATACATATACATACATATATATTTATTTATTTATTTATACATAGAAGAACTAGGGTGTAGGCCACAGGTACAGGCAGTGAGGGGAGTCTCCAGAGACAGAGTAGGGAGCAGAACAGGCAGAATGGACTGAGATACACTGCTGAGGTGAGCAGCGGGTGAGACAGGAGAGGTCTGCGGTGTCATGTAGTCAGCTCCCTTGCCAGAGATCAAACTCATGTTGCAGTGGCTGCCAATAGCTTGATAGCTCTGTTGCTGTGTCTTTAATCCCTGTGCCAACAGGGAGGCCCCCTAATGGATGATTTGTATAGAAGAAAATATAATTAATCAGAATGATAAAGATGTGATACAACAGAAACCAGAGGAAATCATGGAAATTTTATCTATATGAGGATTATGGTACTAGAAACTTTGTATGCATAAGAATGAGATAGGTTAAGAATGAGATAGGAACATGGAAAAATGAAAAGAATTCACTCCGGTTATTTTTCTGGTTTCAGATTTATATTGTCATATTTATGGGATAAATGTTTTTCTCAAGGTAGATAAAAAAGGAAATAAACCTGAATCATTAATGGAGGCAACACTAAGACATTTTTATAAAGATTAATTATATTCATTTCTGCATACAGGAACTGGGGTATAGGCTAGAGATGCAGGGAAGTGAGAGGATTCACCAGAGACAGAGTAGGGAGCAGAACTGGTGGACTGAGACTGACTAAAATACATTGCTGAGGGGAACAGCAGACAAGACAGAAGAGGTCTGCTGCATCATGTGGGTCAGCTCTCTGGCTGGGGATCAAATTCATGTGTAGTGGCTGCTGATAGCTTGCTAGTGCTGAGACTTAACCCCTTGTACCGCCAGGGAGGTTCAACACTACGGAATTCTTATGCAGACCCTAATTCTGGTAGGCCTGTGAAAATATTACCAATGAGTAACCTGAGGTTGGTTCACAGGAGACCAAACTTTAGTAAGAGAAAAAGGGACCTTAATAAGGAAAGAGGGACTTAATACAAGTTGTATCTGGCCAGTAATCATGTCTGTGTATCTGTGTCTCTATACTTCTATCCTGTCCCTTTCAGAGAATATGGTCTGTGAGTATCCACAGAGGTCATAACTGTTCATCCCACTCTGTCAATCCCACCTCTCCTCTGTCATGTGCTTTATTGTGAATATCTCTGTCATTAACAAATTGAAATTATCTTCAAGTGAAGATGGTGGATATTAAAAAGCTATCTTCATTTATTCTTGGACTAAAAACATTGTACTAAATAGTAAAGAAGATTACAATCCCTGCTCATCTATTTCTAAATCTTTTATGTTTCAATGTAAAGTCTTAGCCATTTCATTAACAAATTTTATATTGGACTATTCCTACTGGCTCATAGAATTCTCTCTTATTCTGCTTCTGCTTTGCTTGTGGATATGTGTGTGTAAAAGTGTCTTAACTACAGGTGTTAGAACATTGATTATTCTTTCTCTGTTTTCTGAACATGAACATAAGTTTCCTGTGGTCCAGACTTTTCTCCTGGCATCTTGTCCAGAACTATTAGTACTTTATAAAGGATTTCCTGAAAGACATCTAGGACAGTGAAGTCCAGTTTAACTTTTTCCAGCTATAGGAAAAGAAGGGTAGTGGGACCATTTCTTTGTTTTTTTGTTTCAGCCATAAATTAACTCTTCCAATATAACTGACTCCTCCTAAGTAGGAAATGCAAATAAGAATAAAAATATGGTGGGATTAGAAAAAAAGAAAAATGTTTTATCTTAAAAAACTGTCCATTATTTCAGATAGAAGCTCCACCACTCTCTCCTTTTCCACATATTAAGCAACAGCCAGGCTCACCACGTCGCGTTTCCCAGCAGCACTCCATTTATGTCTCTCCACACAAGAACGGGTCAGGTCTTACACCAAGGAGCGCACTCCTGTATAAGTTCAGTGGCAGCCCGTCTAAGGTAAAGTGCATACAAACTATACTGCATAACAGGCTATGTATGTATGTTAAAAATTGAATTTATTGCCACTTAGCAGTCTTACACGCTTGCTCTTTTTTTGCAAAGTTACTACTAATAAATATGAACAGTTACTGTAGCAAGTTTCCTGTGATCAAGAACAGTGTGTTCAGTTCAACTAATTGCTGTTGATATAGGATTGGGGAGTTCTCTGCAAGAGCCCAGCATGTTTTCTTGCTCAAGCGTGGTATTAAAAAGGGACCAGTAAGGAAATACCTGTAAGTGGCCAGACATAGGACACAATAAGCTTGAAGAAAGGTCTTGGAAGTGAAAGTTCATTTGGTAGGTGGCAACCAGAGTAGTAAAAAGTCAGAAAACAAAGGCCTGCCTTTATTTACAGAAACAGCACAGAACAGATTCTTACATAAAATCAAAGATGGGACCAACTGACTTCTTAGGCAGTAATTTTGAACCACCTGGGGAGCTTGTCTAACATAGATACCTGTCCCACAGATCTACTGAATCACAGAATATTTAGCCAGGTTCCCTCGACATTGTGATGCATGGCCTTACTATTCAGAAAGTGGCTTATAGACCAGCAATGTCAGCACCACCTGGGAACATGAGAAATATAGAATATCAGACTTCATACCATCGTACAAAATCTGAATCTGCATTTTAACAAGATCTTAGATGATTATTGAACATGTTACAGTTCAAAAAATATTGATCAAGAAGGAAGACCTCACACTTAAAGGATCCTCAGAGTCATCTGAAGGAACTACTAAAACATAGTTTACTGGCTCCACCCTCTGAAATCGTCTGTTCGGTAGGAGAGGGTGAGGCGTAAGAATCTACATTTCTGGTTAAGTTCCTAGATGTCTACTGCACCTGGTCTAATGTCTACACTTGAGAATCTGTCATAAGGTAGATCCTAATTTTAAAGACATCTGAACAGATTGAGTCTAATCACCTTTGTGAATTTGGCATACATTCAAAAACTAATATTCACCCCATTGTTGAGCTCTAGAAGACTACACAGGGCAGAAGAAAACAGCTTAATTATTTGTTATTTCTGCTATCTCCCTTTTTACTCATATATATATATATCCTCTATTTTTGCACAGAGTTTGAAAGATATCAACAACATGATAAGGCAGGGTGAGCAGAGGACTAAGAAGAGAGCAATAGCCATCGATGGTGATGCAGAATCCCCTACCAAACGCCTCTGTCAAGAAAATGATGATGTTTTACTTAAACGATTACAGGATGTGGTTAGTGAAAGAGCAAATCATTAGTGCTCTTTCTGTTCCTATGATAAAAGCACTTTCAGGTTGTCTGCAGGAAGTTGGGGCTCTTAGCCCCATAGGTGGTAAACATCACTGGGTTATAAGAAAAATTGCACCAAAATTAAGCGCCTTTTTAAAACAACTAGCCCAGAATCTAGTTCACAGAAATATATTTTGAGTTGGATTGGAAAGAGATATTTTAAGTGCCTTTTAAATGTATTGATAATCTTAGAACTTTTAAATATTGATTACTTGGGTTAGTTTTTAAGATGAAGTAGGAAGAAACCTTATGATTTTTTAGCTTACTTTTTAAAAGAATCAAATTTTTCTCTGTGCTTTCTTAATATGAGTGTAAGTATGTGTGCTTTGAGATACTTACATCCTTCATTTAATATTAAGGGTTGGTTCCCATAGGACCTGCACCACAGGTGATGCACCAGGTCTGGTGCATCTCTGACCCACTGTAGTAAGCCCACATCCAGACACCACTACCATTCTGGGTTGTCTAGACCCTACTTCTCATGCCCTTCCTCTCATTGAGAGTAAGTGGGTTTATGCATCACCGCCACTCTGCTTGCCAACCCCTAAGCCATCTTAGCCTGATTACATGGCCCAGTAAATGGATGCTTGCTTGCTTCTTTAAACTACTAGTATTTTGCTTTCCAAGCTATTAATTATGCATGATTATATAATGTAATTCTCAGAATTGGAAGCTGCTTCTCAAGTCAGGAAAATAAAATCAAAGTAGTAAGAAACTAAATTTTCTTGTACTTTGGTAACACCTTAATAATGGGTGAGATTCTGTTTTTGAGGTGATAAGATCAGTCCTGTCAATGGCTAATTTATTCCCTAAGAATAATTAAAACTTTTCTGTAATCACAGTAGCATTACCTCATACTTAGTAATATCCTTAAGTAAACTGACTGCTTACTACTTCCTCCTCTTTGTTCTCACTATTGTTGGTGCATTGTGAGGTTCCCATAATGGTTTAATCTCTGGGGGGCGGGAGGGCCTAAGAAATTGTCCAGCATTAGGGATACAGCTTTCCAAAAATCAGGTGTTCAATATTCACTTTTTCTAGTGTATTTCTAGAAACTGGAGGGAAACACACTAATTTCTTAATTTTCTTAATTTTGAGAAAATGTCCTCAAATGTTTACTTAACTGTAAACATTTTTAAAATGCAAAGTAGTTAATTTAACCTATGCCTAGCCATGGCTATTTTGAATTAGTCTAAGTTTTGACTGTAAATTGGTAATTACTATTATCAGGACTTTTATATTTTAAGAAAAATTATTTTGGTCATATTTCACTCTTCTGAAAATTACATACTCATTTTTTGTGTAGTATCTACACATTATAAGCCAAATAACATGTCTTGAATTTTTGTACATATTTTTATGTAGCTATAGCTATTGTGTCATTTTCATCTTTCACAAATGAACACTGACTATATAAGAACTCTGAATATGTTTTAATCAGTTTTTAGTACTAAATATCATTGTACATAAAATGGTTAATAAAATGTTATTTTTGAGATTAAAAAACTACCTGTGCTCTTTTCTTTGTGACTAGAAGCAATTGTTATTGTACAGCCATCTAGAATCCATACTTTTTTTTTTTTTAAGATCTATTTATTTATGCATACAGAACTGGCATACAGGCCAGAGGATACCGCCAGTATCCTCTGTCACTGGCGGTGAGAGGATTCACCAGAGACAGAGTGGGGAGCAGAATAGGCAGATCGATGGAATTCACTGCTGAGAGGAGCAACGGGTGAGGTAGGAGAGGTCTGCTTTGCCACATGGGTCAGCTCCGGGGCCAGGGATCCAACTCTCACTGAAATGACTTCAGCTAGCTTGCAGTGCTGCTCTTCAACCTGCTGCACTACCAGGGAGGACCCTAGAATCCATACTTCTTTCAACATCTGCTTTGTATCTTTTAAATATCTTAATGTAACTTGAAAGTGAATGTTCCTTGTGGTTCCCGTGAGCTAAGAAGAGAGAATAAGGAGTGCCTGACTGCATAATGGGTACATTTTAGGGTAAAGAAATTATTTTGAAAATTGACATAAATGGTAGTTGCTTACATTTACTAAATGAGACTAAATGGTACACTTTAAAATGTTTGTTTTTAGGTTAATATCTCCTCAGCTTTTTAAAATGTCCGAGATACAAAGAAACAGGGTTATTTCAAGGTCTTGGAATGAATATGTTGGCCTAATTATAATACTGAATTAAGGAAAAGACTTCTTTCTTTCTTAGAAGTGCTCTTAGGACTGTTTCTTTAGATGAGACAACTTAAAAGTTCTTGAGATTTTTATGTGGTGGGCCCTCCTTGGTGGCACAGTGGGTTGGAGCTAGTCCAATCCTGGCCCTGGAGGTGATCCACATAGCACAGCATGTAACAGGTACAGGTTTCATGGACTACGCCCCTACTCCAGATGCTGGAACTCCAAATCCCATCAGTACCACGAAGAAGCATGCTGGGACGTGAGGGCAGAGCTGAGAAGCCAGGTTGGGATAAAACTGGACATGTGGGCTCTGGGTGGACCTGGTGGTTCGCAGCTGATCGTTTTGGCGCTCAATCCGTTTTCACTGTGCCGGTGGAGTCCAAGTCAGCAGAACTGGTAGGACATCCTAGTTAACCTGTGTTTCTCTCCCTCTTTCCCTGGGTTATTCCTTTACCTTTCTCCTTATAAATAAATCCATTATTTAACCTTTTGAGTGTGTCCATAATATGATTGAATCGTAAGCGCACGGGTGAAGACCCACAGACAGGCAACCCAATTCACATTGGGGTGCCCTGTAATAAGCAGACCTCTCCTGTCTCACCCACTGCTCCCCTCAGTAGTGTATTACATTAATCTGCCTGTTATGCTCCCCACTGATTCTGGTGAATCCTCTCACAGCCCTTGCACCTCTGGCCTATACCCTAGTTCTGTTTGCATAACTAAATTTTAAAATATATATGTACATATATATAGTGTGTGTGTGTATGGCTAGATTATATAAGATCAGATTTTTTAATGAAAGGTGATATTTCTGCTTGACTGTCTTTTTGTTCTTTCATAGTACTTTCACGAAGTCAGTAACATTTCTGGCTACCTATAAGCCTGGCCTGGCCATTTGCTTATATATCCTAGCTACCAGGATATAAAAATGAGTCAGAAATAGTTCCTGTCCTCAAGACAATATTTGTAGCCATGAAGATAATGTGTTAAGTGCTCTGCAAAGAGGGACAGTGTTAGCACAGAGAAGGGAATTATTCACTCTACCTGGGTAAGTATGTCAGGGAAATCTAATATCACTCCAAAGGGGAGACAAAGCAGTAGGAAATTTAGTCCTTAGTATTGAATAAGGTGGTGGCAAGGTCCGGGGCACAAAAGTGCTGTAGGTTTGGGATTGCTGGAGTTTAGTAAGGCTGCAGTGTGGTATCCATATGCAAAGGGCAGAACAAAGAAGGGCCAGAAAAGTAGGCAGAGGTCTTTCTTAGTAGGATTTGAAAGCCAAATGAAGGAATTCAGGATTGAACTTTTCCAGTGGGTATCAACACTGACTGCAACTGTGGAGATTTAAACAACACGTAATGAATGGAGACATTTTTGCATTTTTGTGGAAATGCTTTTATCTAGTAAGCAGAAGCCAGGATCTGCTTAAAATCCTACAATGCACAGCATAGCCCCCTGACAACAAGGGATTATCTATTTATTATAAAGAAATTCTGCAAATATCTGTAGTGCCAATCCCTAAATTGTAGATGCCTAGACAAGAGGAGTTGTACACTTTAAGATACTGGTAGTGGAGGGGCCCTCCCTGGTGATGTAGCAGGTTAGAGCACAGCACTATGAAGCTCTCAGAAGCCACTGCAGCATGAGTTCCATTCCTGGTCAGGGAGCTGACCTACATGGTGTGTCAGACCTCTTCTGACCAGCCCACTGATCCCCTCAACAGTGTATTTCAGTGGTTCTGCCTGTTCTGCTCCCCACTGAGGAATCCTCTCACCCCCTGCATCACAGGCTATACACCAGTTCTTGTATGCATAAGTAAAAAAATCAGTCTTTTTTAAAAAGATACTGGTAGTGGCAGTAAAAGGAAATCTGTACTGTAGAGGGTGCCTAACTTGGCATATATGGGGTACTATGAAGCTAGTCAGGAGTGGCTTCACAGGAAAGATGACTTTCCGGAAAAGATTAATGGCAATAAATTCCAGGTGGGATAGCTAAAATAGTAAGGTTGTTTGGTATCAATGACCCCCTTAATATATTAAGAGAAGAAAAGCCTTCCAACAAGTAGGCAGTGATTCTATCAAACTTCCCAAAGGTGACGATCACCTTTGAGAGCTTCTTAACCATACAAATTCAATAGTGTGTCACCCAAATGGTTTTGTTTACGCAACCCTGGCTATTCCCAAGAGAAGCTTCAAAAGTACCTGTCTAGAATCCAGGAGAAGAATATAAAGGCCAAGAGTATGTAGATCCAGGTCCAAGTATCTTCCCTCACACTACACCATCAAACCATTACTTCAGTTAGATCATCAGCACTTCAGTATTCATTACAGAAAATGACATTCATTGTACAAAACTAGAATATGCATTAAACTACCTCCCCACCATTCAGAGGTCACTTTTTTATTACAATTTTCCACATGAAGGAAATTCTGCAGATCTAAGTTGTCTACTATGATGTCCAGTCTTGTGAAGTATTAAATTTATATAAAATATAATACACTCATTTTAACTATACAGTTTGATGACTTTCATTAATTATGTATGTTTACCACCACAATCCATGCCTATATGTAATATTTCCATATAATTAAAAAGTGTCTGTGCCCCCTGATCATCATCCTTTCCCTACCCACTGTGCACAGCCAGCAGTTGTTGGTCTGCTTTTTGTCACTATAATTACATTCCTAGAATTTCAAATGAATATGTGTATACATAGTTAATCATCTTTTGTATTTTGAGTCTTTAAGTATAACTTTTTAGAAATTAACACATGATATCTATAAATATTTCCTTTTGCTGATGAGCAATTTGCCTTATTGTGGATATACTACAATTTGTTTAATTTTTTTAAAAGATTTATGTATTTATGCATATAAGAGCTGGGGTATATAGGCCAGCCAGAGTACAGGGGTGGGAAGATGAGAGGATTCACCAGAGACAGAGTAGGGAGCAGAACAGGCAGATCCACTGAAATACACTGCTGAGGGGAGCAGCGGGCGGGTCAGGAGAGGTCTGCCGCGCCAGGTGGTCACATCATGGGCAGGCGGGGATCGAACTCATGTTTCAGTGGCGCAAGTAACCTCACAGTGCTGAGACCTAACCCCTTGCGTCACCAGGGAGGCCCTACAATTTGTTTATTCACTACTTCATGAATATAAATTGTTTCCTGTTTGGGCTATTAATAGTTACAGAAATTTGCATGGAAGTTTTTTTGTTTCTTTTTAAAGATTTATTTATTTATGCATACAACAACTGGGGAACAAGCCAGAGGTACAAGGGGAGAGGGGGGCGAGAGGGTTCACCAGAGACAGAGTGGGGAGGAGAACAAGCAGATCTCCTGAACTGCACTACTGAGGGGGAGCAGTGGGTGAGACAGCAGAGGGCCGCTGCGCCATGTGGGTCATCTCCCTACTCAGCGATGGAGCTCGTGCTGCCTTAGCTGCCGATAGCTTCATAGTGCTTCACTTTAACCCACTGTACCACCAGGGAGGGCCTTGCATGGACGTTTTTAAAGATACTTTTTTTTTTTCCTCATTCCTTTATGAGTTGGATTGCTAGGCCCAATGATAAGTATATTTTGAACTTTATAAGATACCACCATGTTGGGCCTCCCTGGTGACACAAGGGTTAAGTCTCATGTATGCATAAATAAGTAAAAATAAATCTTTAAAATAAGAATATAGTTAAGCCTTCTGAGGATCAAAACAAATATCAAATCTCTTTTGTTTCCTGGACTAAATTGCAAGTCCAGACAGTAATTGAGGACCTTCAGATTTGCTGACGGATTTAACAGTTGTTCAAACTTACCAACCTGGTTTTTCAGACTTGTGTCAGGTGCTTTCCACTGAGGCTCAAACAAAACAATTGATAAAACTTGCATGGGAAAATCCTAAATCCTAGGTAAACAAACCTCTAACTTTTGTCCACAGTCAAGGAAACATGCTGATAGACAACCAAAAACCCCAAATTATCACTACAATTATTTATTAGAACAAAATATTCACACTTGTGCACAAAAGTCTGGTGAACTGGTTCATGATGGTTATAATCAAATTCAGTTGTTTCAAAAGAAAACTCATATCTGATGTTAGATCTATTCAGATAGCCTTCAATTTTATGTTAACCAAGTTCTTACTCTG